AAAAAAGAGAGTTGTAAAACCCCAAAACCCCAAAACCCCAAAACCCCATTAGATATAATTTGAGCTAATAAGAATGATTTAACTTAGTTTATATAATAATCAAATTTAATGTTTAGTATTTCTTTGGCTTATTGCAGATTGTACCTAGCAGTTTTTTCTGTCATTTTACTTGTAAGTTAATATAAATTATAATGGCTAAAAGCATGATAATACTATAGATAGCTGGCATTGCAGTATGTGCCTTCTCTAGCATTGTTAAAAATGAAGCAATCTTAGATAGCAACGATGATTTTCCCAATTTTGGTCTTATTCCTTTTTATGTGACATTAAGCTTTGGAGTAATTTTGCTACTGACTGGAATATATGCATTATTTACCTCCTACAAATTCAGCAGAGTTATGAGAATCATTGTAAGTTTTCAAATTATCTCTTATGATATTCAAATATTGAATGACAAATAACAATATCATTTTTTACTCTTCGGACTAATATTCTTAATTGAAAAATGGTCATAATGCAAATCTCACTTTAATGATTACTTTATTCAAACTAATTCTTTAATAATTAATTATTTATAGCTTGGATTTTTGAGTTTCAACTTATTCATCGCCTTCATAGTAATTGGATCATTGCTATTCTCAGAGTATAGTAAGAGATGAAAATTCTTTTAATTTCAATTTTAACAGATAGAGGCTTAAGAATAATGGATTCTTAGTGCAGAAGAGTTGAGATGAAAGAGTATGATGAAAATCCAAAAATGCAAAATCTGATACTGTTTACTGGACTGTACGACATTGTTCTAATGAATCTATCAAATCAATACATGTGCACGAAGATTTGTCCATGTAAAGGTGTAGATCACTCTAATCTTTGGAGTGAATAATAATTGAATTCAGTAGGAAGGACTAAATATTAATTGAGAAATCAAAATTAAGCTATTACCAACAATTATGTGCCACTATTATTTAATGATAGTAGAGGCTACTCTAATTTTTATGACTGCTACGAATAAGAATTGATGACGGGTGATAATAAGTAAACCTAAATAGCTCCATTCCCCTAAAGTATTCTCAGAACTATTAAAAGGCTAGAAAACTCCTTTGAGTGCAATAACTATTGTGAATAAAGCCTTTTCTATATGTTTAAGGATATTACTGAAGGACCCCCTAAGAGTAGCTGCTACACTCCAATCAAGCAAATGCTAAAAAGATTACTAGAGAATGGTGGAATTATTAGCATTTTCGCTTCAATCTCATTATTCTTCTTGCTTTTAGGTTTGATCTGTAATTGTAGATATAAGAGCATTAAGGACTATGAGTATTAGTTGAACTAAAATTCAAATAGAGAAATTTTAGGGCATTCATTTGGAGAAAATAAAGTTGATGACTCAAATGACATTGGAAATAAAAGGTAATAAACTAATGAGAGTCTTCATCAAAAACTTAGCGATATTGGAGGGAAAAATATAAATGTGATTGAAGATGGCCAAGACTAGATCGAATATGTGCTTACAAATAGCAATGATTCAAATAGAGATAGTCCAATGAAGTCATAAAATTAGAAGGAAGAAATAGATTATAATGATAGTTAAATATGATTTAAATTTAATTTAATTTATTTTTATCTATTTATATTGTTGATTCGTTGAGGGGTTTTGGGGTTTTGGGGTTTTGGGG